AATAAAACAAGTAGTATTTAGATATAAAATTTAAGATTTTTTGTGTAAGTATTTTTTTAAAAAAGTGATTATTGAATCATTAAACATTGGACGATATCTTAATTATTAATATGATAAGAGAATTGGTAAAGTTGGTGCAATAATTAATTGTCCCTCAATTATAATAATATAACATAATTTTTTTAATAATTATAATTTTTTTGTAATATTTTAATAATTACAATTACAAAAAAATATACCACAACATACATCTTCAAATTAAACTGAAGAGAAGACTTGTCCTATTTTCATTTTCTAAGTCTTTCTCTATTACATTTTTTTTATTTTGGCATATGGTCCCCCAATTATTTTTTTTTAACTTTAGAAATTTTAAAAATTGAAGTAATATTTGAATATAAAATATAAGATTTTTTTATCTAAATACCTTATTTTAAAAAAATTATCACTAAATTATTTAACATTAAATAATTCCTCAATTATTATTTTTTTATAATAGAATAGTCCCTCAATATTTTTTTTTTTTTGAAAATAGGTAATGAAGTCCCTCAATTATTGATACCATAAGAAAATTGCCAAAACGTGTACTGCAATTGACGGCCTTTGAGTGACAATCTCCTTCAAATTTTCCTTTATTATGGTGATACGGTCGCAGATGGGCGGTATGCAGCCCTTTTTGGACCCTCTCACTTTGGACTAATGCCCCAACTTGCCTATTGATCAGTCAAAATCACCCTATTTTTAAAATTAAAAATATGAATATTAAAATTTAGTCTATGAAATGACAGACGGCAATTGCCCTCGATAACTGTGAGTGCAATTAACACTTTAATTTTTTTTTACATGAAAAATTTATGAGAAAGAGGGATATTTTTTATATAATTAATAGGAGTTAAATTTTTTATTAACTGAGATTAAATACTAAAATTTAAAGACAGGATCATTAGTCCAAGGGCCGGTTCTAACACTTTAAGAAAAATTGGTTGAGGATAAGTATGAAATTTTAATAAAAAAATATTATATGCTTTAAATTATCTAAATAAATATGGCATAATTAGAATTTTTTTACATAGTATAATTTTAAATTAGATAGAACGGTTTTTTTTATATTAGAATTTTTTTATTTAATAATTTATATTTTATAATTTAATAAACACAAATTTTTAATTAAAAAATTATAAAATAATTATAAAATTACATATTATATTAAAA